CAGACCATACAGCTGTCTCGTCCTTCTAGGACCTATAAAGGTAAATGATACAGTACGCCAATAATAAATTACACAGACCATACAGCTGTCTCGTCCTTCTAGGAACTATAAAGGTAAATGATACAGTATGCCAATAATGAATTACATAGACCACACAGCTGTCTCGTCCTTCTAGGACCTATTAAGGTAAATGATACAGTATGCCAATAATAAATTACACAGACCACACAGCTGTCTCGTCCTTCTAGGACCTATAAAGGTAAATGTTACAGTACGCCAATAATGAATTACACAGACCATACAGCTGTCTCGTCCTTCTAAGACTTGGCACTGAAGTTTGGGAAGTGTGTCAAACCCATTAATTATACTAATTTAAAACACTAGAAAAACTGGTAAATTCAATAAAGGATAAGTAAAGTGTATAAATTATGAACCATACCACTACTCAAAAGAGAAAACTTTCGTCCGATGATGGAGGTTACGATAAAACCTTGGAGTCCAAGAAATCCACCAGGAGTCTACCACCTTGAATCAGTAGAAACGAGGGTAATCTGGCTTAGTGACGAAACAGGAATTCTCAACTATAGACCATCTAAGACAGGTTCTTTTTGTAACTGGGACCTTAACATAAATATCCGTAACTGCCCCTGTGGTTGCAAATGATGCGTTGCAGAGAATTTGCAATGCTATGATACTTTTACTTACTAAGCTAGAGCAATATCTGACAAAGAGAGGGACCGTTGGCATCACCTTGGCGTACACCCGTAAATGCGTCAATCCGCCAAAGGCCATGCTTGATGATCGACCAGAAAGTGATACATATTCTACACCTGCCCACCAATTCTCATACGAAGTTTCATAAATATCCGGTAAGTACATTGTAGTCTCTTGAGCTAAAGTCGTGTCTCCGTTTGGAGGAAGAAACGAATGAAGAAGAAAAGAAGGAAGCAAGAAAAAAAAGAAGAAAAGCAACAAAAGCAATAAGTCCCCCATTACGTTTCAGTGGGGAATACATAAGGCCTAGCGGACGATCTGAAAAATTTATGTTTTATTCTATATTTTTATGTTTAGCGGATGATTCATTCGACCACTCACTACAACAGTTTATTTGTATACATTATCAACTAGAAATGTACGTGATCGTGTCACCAAAAGCAAACTTTCAGGCTTTTCATTAATCTACTTCCATACATTTGTCATTTAATTGATCCACACAACAATTAATACAGCGTAGCCGAATCGACATCGATTTGTAGACAACTCGTACACATTTTACACCTTTGTGTGCATGAAGGTGACAGAGTACATACCGTACTAGCCATCGAAACGTCACATAGAAACACTTATTAGTTGTGTAACAAGAAAATTTTCATAATCTATACTTACCAACATGAAAAAGATGTTAAAAAATACTTACTGATATGTCTTCATTGATATCCAAAGGGAGATAATTTCTCGTGTCTGAAGCGGAATTGTTACATGCTTGAAATATTGTGTCCGGTGTTTAGAAACGACTAAATGTTTGCTTGTTGAAGACATATTTGTGTGAACGTTGTTCAATCGGTTTATAAATTGAATAAATTAATGAGATAATAAGTCAGTGGTAAGGCTATTTATATGTTTTCCTCGTATATGTTATTCTTCTGGTAACTTTTATTCAGTAAATAATTAAAGTGACTAGAAGTGCAAACAACCCTGGAGAAACAAACAGTTAATGTATTAAAGTGACATTCTGACTGGGATTAAAGTTAGGCTGTGTTCATTATGTATTCATTATAATTTCTTTTTAAACTTCTGATAATACATTTCCTATTTATATTAACTGATCATACAGATACCACGAGCTAAACTTGTGTCGTGTTGTCAATATCCATGTTCAATAACTATCCAATTACCAGTGTTATTCCTCCGTTATTTTTGTCAATTGAAGATAAATGTAGACTATTTTCATAAATATTTCAAACCAGATTTAGTAAATCACACTGATTTGCTCAAAAGAACCTCGTTTGGTGTCGAGAGAAAAATACTAAGTTGTATTTTATTTATAGCAAATCCCCTTACCTCTAATAAACTTCAACTTGAATTGTTCAAAATGTGAGTCGTTAACTTACCGGTTATCAACTCGAATTTTACCTGTTCGTTTCTCCATATGATCAGCGTGAAAACGAAGACATGCAGATTTTTTTTATGAAATGGGATATCTTTCAAAATTATTAGCTGGCGTGAACGTACACACGCTAACAATCCTTTAAGCAACTAGGTCACAAAACCAAACTTAACACCTGTCCGTGTATGCTGCGTTCATTTTACAAGCACATTTAATGTAGTTCAAACTTTTTTCAATATTTAATGCAGTGCATGCAAGCTTCGAGAGCAAAGCCTTTATTCATAAAACCGTTCTAGTGTTTGAGCAAAGATTCTGTGATCAACCAACTTTCCTGTAACTCACTTAAATCCTGAAACGATCAAACAGTCAAATGTAAGCATTGAAAACAATACTTCGCTTTAAAACTCTTCAATTGTGTTCTTAATCATAAACAAAATAACATTTTATTATTAATTTATAACCGGAAAAAGAAATAAGGCTTGATTACTAAATCAATACTTGAGCATGAGAACGGTTTCATGAATACGGACCCTGGTGTTGGCATTTTGATAATATGGTAAAAAGTATTTATCATAATTTGATTTGTTTGGTTGATTTTATTTGTAAAACAAACATCTAGTACTTGTGTAACTGAAGAGGAAATAACTCAAGTCCCTGTAAAATTGCCACTGCAGCATTGAAAAGGTGATGTATCACTGAAGTGTCTAAGACGAACCGGCCCCGCTATCTGTACTCACCGTCGACACAATGGTATTAAGGGGGCGTAACTGAGTTATCTTAAGCAGAACTATAGATATACGACTGCCCGATAAGTAAGTTTGAGCAACACCGACTGATTTAAATTATTCAGGGAACTTTCATGTAGATTTTATGAAGTCAAAGATGTACATCAATGAACATGATAACATATTAACAATCCAATGAGTAAAACGATGTTAGGATGGACACTGGTTTTATAATATGTCTGTTACATCCAGATTCCTATGGATATTGTCTTCGCAGTACATTCAGTACTTTGATTAGCATTCTACAGCCTAATCGTCGGGTCCCTTTGCTTTTGAGGTTTCCAAATATATTTAGTTGCTTCTTCACACGTCATGGACGATAAAGTTGGTTAAACTAGATACAGAACTTGGCGCATTTTTTACAATGAATATATCTTACAGGTTTAAGAAGTATTTGATATCAAAGTCAGCTCAAACTTCAACATTAAAAAGTGTTAAATGTCTTTGTAGTAACATCTCAGCTATATCATCCATATCGCCTGTTGAGTTATTGTCCCGAGACTTTGTTCTTGTTGGCACAATCATAGTTTATATTTCACTTTAATTAATTGGGAATTAGAAGAAATGCTTCGGGTTATTCAACCAGTGATATTTTTTCTTATTGTTTTATAACCCTATATACCTAGCCTTTCTATTTTCCCATTCTAATCGTTATGCGTATTCAATCTTTAATTATTTTTTAGTGCGTGTGAACATAATTGATAAAATTACTGATAGCAGATACATTTGATTTTTTTATCAAAACATATATTTCTTGAATGGCCCTAAATGACATAAACTATCGATGGGCCGTAAAACTGTATATATCATCTTTATTTCCTCCAAATTGGAGAGCATGATACAATGATAGTACATGAATAATACATTATTTACAAAATGACAACAATCGTGACATACAAGTGACATACAAGTTCACAAACGTATATACATATTATTAAATATCAGTGATATAATACTGGTTTATGTAGCCAGTAATATATATATATATATATATAATAATATTAATAATACCAGGGATGTGTACTCCCTGATAATACCATGCCTATGTTCGATGTGTTTTTTTTTACATTTTCCTTATATTAAAAAGACAAGTATTTGTAAGACATTATTGTAATAATTATTATTACGTATATAAGTCAAACATTCTTTTTTATCGCATATACGGATTCTAGTCTAAATTCTTCTAAATCAATTTCATTTAAATTATAGGTCATTGGGCCTCCTAGTAAAATATGAATAACTGAGTAGTCAGGCAGTGAATGCAAATATGAACTGAGTTCAATACTTGAAATGCAGGCAATGATACACCATAAATTGTCACAAATTTTCTGTTACAGAACAATGCAGAATCACATGAGATACAAAATCTGTTTTTTCCCGTATTCCAATTAGTCCTTAGGTGTAGTACTTAGTCCCAACTTTAACTGGGAGATCTAGAATCTTGCATTTGTCTTTAAACCCACTTAAAAATGATAAAAAGTTAGCATACACATTTTATATATAAATCTTTGCCGTTTTATGAACTGAAACAGTAACCATTAGGCTAGTTCTTCATAACATTCACACTGACTATGTCTGTATTTTGGACATTTTAAAGGAATTCGATTGCATTAATTATAAAAGGGATCAGCTTTATGAAACCTTCTCAATGATTGCGAAAAAAAATAGAATTGTGTGTTTGCATTTTACACCCGACGTTTTACTTGAACGAAAATATGGATGTTTTATTTAATTGATAATTTCTTCAACTTGTCATAAAGCGATTTAACCAAACTTCATCACATGTCTGATTAGCGTGACACCTGCCTGAACAGAACACAGCATTAATGTTAAGTCGATACTTTGACGTTTCGGTATGTTATACGTGTACATCACCCATGACCCAGGATTATACCCTTTCTGTTCATCACAAATAAACTTATACTAACAAAAAACCCATGACAAACACAATAAAACGTATGGAGTTACGTTCCAACATAAATTAATAAATAATGCGGGTTTATAATGTATTATAATGTTATTTTCAAAGAATGTTTTTGAGATGACCCCTCTGAGAACCGGAAATAGAATGGATGAATCATTTAAAATGCCCGGATATAATCATACTGGCAATATGGCGCAGAGGATGTAGGATCGTGTGGTTACGAAGGATATAGCAGACCAACATGTGTTTTATGCGCCGTACATAGTTCTAAATAATCTTCTTGTGTTCTTTGGAGTTTAACATCTAACTGTGGAAAATGTCGACCGAAAAAGTAAAGGTTGCTGTGAGGGTTCGACCCATGAACAGGCGAGGTAAGTGTGGAGTGTTTGGTCCTAACATTGCTTGTGCTGGATAACTCAATGTTAGGCCGCTTCCAAGTCATACATAATAAATTATTGTTGGATTTCTCAAGACTTACGGGACATGTAAGTCCGTCTATATCCCTGCCATGCTAATTCTGTAAGGGTTTATGGTGGAGAAATGAACTGTTACTTTGTGTTTATGGTTTGTGTATTGAATTGTCACTGGAATACACACGTTGTTCCGTCGTGAAACATTTGACAGTTGCTGGGTACAGAAGCTGGTTAGACTGATACAGCCCATAGCAGGGAGACATTCAAACTACACGTGCATAACATTCCCCGTATACGTATCCCAGCAACATCACTGGTTATATTAAATTGAATATTATAATTATAATTATCATATTCAATATCATTTTCATCCAATTTGATTATTTTAATAATATACAATGATAGGTGAAGGTGATATTGTTATCATAAGGTTGCGCAACTCTTTCGGTCATAAATATATCCAACGTTGATTAAATTTGAATCAGGTTTCAGTGTTTGTTGATATTTTAATTCAATAGTTATATGATTTATCAATAGGATTAGGAGTTAAGATATTTTCTTCACACGCGTGCATACAAATCACATCTATGTGTATTAAGAAGAGTTTGATTAAAGGACTATAAATATATATTACTAATGCTACCTGGGCATGTTATCTCTAAGTATCAAAGTCTACAGTCATTATTTCATAGAATCTTAGCAAATGAAGAGGAAAGAAAAGGGAGGGAACTTTTCAGTTTCCAGCTAGGGCACCAATAAATATCAAAGTTGAGTTACTATCTGCCATTAAAGCAGCGCTCGGATCAGTATGCAGTTTCTAGTAATTGGTTTGACAGTAGGTTGAGGGTAATGGTTGTTACGGAATAGCAACGGGAGGGGGAATGTGACACAATCTGTACAAAAATCAAGATTTATGTTTTAACTGATAAATATTGAAGGGGACTCACTCTTCAATTCCTAACACTGTTTATTGTAAGGGACAACTGTGGTGTATGAGGAAGATGATATGTTTAGAAACGAGATCTGACTCCTTGTAATGCTTTGTAGTAGTTAAGGTTAACTTACTTCTGGTTTTGTTTGACTAATGTTTAATTATCCCCTACTTTCTAGTATAGGTGGTTGTGGTTTTTATGGTTGGTTCTGGTCTGGTTTTATAGAGAAGGTGGTATGATATTCATAAGAATCACAGTGTTAAACTTTAAGGATCCCCAAACCACTGCTCCGTATTAGAAATTGCTCTTTCCAGCATTACTAAAGCTTCGATAAATCATTTCTGAAAAGAAAACCATAGCTTGCAGGACTTAAATGAAAAATAATAATGATGAAATAAACAAAATGAAATGACATCAGGGCTTATATGCAGGATTTTGAACCCTAGACTTCAGATTTTTATATTATCACACATCAATTGAGAGCTGCTACCAGCTGGTCGACGGAAGTGTCTTGGCCAAAGAATGCTACAGTTATACCCAAGGGTAAGTTAAGGGGCAGTTACTGTCTATAGGAAAAACTACAGTGCAGAAGGATAGGAATTCTTAATATTGGCTTAATTTACTTTTCAGTCCGTGAAGAATTTTATAGTGTATCTTACATTCTCAGTACTTTCTTACTTGTCTAAATTGAGGGATTTTCACTTAAGGATCCCTGTCCCACAGCACTGTGATTTTTCTGCAGTAACCTCCACTTCACTTCCGCTTGGAAATAACTACTACCACAGTTGTTCTACAATACTTCCAATGACCAGGTAGCTCAATTGGTTAGAGTGATGGTCCAACAATCTGAAGTCCAGGGTTGGAATCCCAGTCTAGCCCTGCTCACTTTTTACACTAGGAACACTGTTGTTTATTATATTTTGCTTATTTCATCTTTATCATTTCTCATAAAGGTCCCGTCAGGTATAATTTTCTTTTTAGAAATGATTTATTAAAGCCAAAATCATGCAGAAAAATTGGTACTAGCACTAACTTATAGTTTTTGGCAGTGGTACGGGGATCCTTAAATATACGCTGACAAAGTTAATTAGATCATCACCTCAAAACTTAGCTGCACTTTCACCTAGAGTCACAATGCTAGACTTTTTGACAGATAAATGTCTGGTTTAGGACCAAAGCACATTAATTTATCAAAATGCATAATTCTGAATCTCCAATACCATTTGTTGTCACAAAAATGTTTGGATGCTGCCAAAGATATTTGCTGTGCCATAACACATACCTAATTACTATGCATCAAAATAGTAGTAATTATCTATTCTAAAACCATCTGTTTAGTCATAATCCTCTGATCAATTCCATCCATAATGTCCTCGTCCATTTAGTGTTCAAACTTTCCCATGTGAATGACACCATCTTGTAGATTAATTGAATTTGAATTCAAGAATTGTATTGCACCACATCACCGAAATGAAATGGAGCAAAGGGGACCAAAAGTGACCAAATTACAGTACTTTGTTTTGACTTTAGCATATTAAACAGATTTATTTTTGGGTGGTCGGTCGGCGCAGTGGATAGCGCACTTGCCTTTCATCAAGGCGGTCAGGGTTTGATTCCCCGATCGGACATGAAAAGATATGGGGTCACCTGCCTGACCATGTGGGTTTTCTCGGGTACTTATACTCTGGTTTCCACCCACAGTAAGACCCCCGCACTCTAACATCCGGGCCAATAAGAGTGATTGGTATAATTTGTAAAAACTTGTTTCATAATTGTTGTTAAATAAAAAAGTTTATATTTTTTTTAAACATATTAAACCAGATACCAAAATACTATATAAATGTAAAAACTTATACACACTGTCAACGTTTTGAAATATTTTTTATTCCTCCTTAATAAGTTATTGCTTTCTGATTCCATTTTGTTGTAAACAATTTTGTGAATCGGTGTTTACAAGATGGTTTGAACATACTGTACTTTGTACTACTGAATGTTTTTTCCTCTCTTAAGAGTTTTACATTTAAACATGCTACTACTTTATATGTATTGGTATCAGTATATTTACAGATATAGCATCCTTTGTCACGTATTTGGACTATTTGTACAAAAATATTTAAAAATAAATAAAATAAATATAGCATCCACTATCATGTGGCTACACAAAATGAATATCAGATCATGTCTATATATATATCCTGAGGTTATCACCAACTTTTTAAGTCTATTTAAAGGACCCATTCCCAATCAAAAAGAGGTTTGATTTGTTTCTAATTTGCCCCTTTAAAAAAATCACAGTTGGGAAATCTAAAAAAATATTTCATGCATAAGTATTAAGTTTAACAAATTTCTCATGATTGATTTCAAATTCTCAAAATGCAGCATACATGTGTGTCGAAGTACAGAATGATCATGTTGTTTAAAAGATGAGCTTACATTAAAGTGGAACACTCTAATTTCATGTATTCAGATCTAGATTTGTTCTAATGATATTCAAATTTCCCAAAAAGGTTCCACATGTATGTTGGTGATTTTTTTCCCAATTTCATTTAAGGATCTGTTTTTAAAACCCCTTGATAACCCCCCTTGCATGTATACTTTTTAAAGACAGATTGAACAAATGATTTATATAGGATTAAGAAATATTGATATTTCCAATTTAGTATCAGTGTTTTGACTCAACGTCCACCAAGTATTGTGAAATAATACTATAGATTATATATTGTTAAAACCCTTTATTGTACAGCAACAATGTACATGATGTTGGCAAAAAAACTGGTTGCATTGAAATTGTTGGGTATGGTTGAAGTATACTTGAATTGCAATGTAAATATGAACGGTCTGTTGGTGATGAAGAGTGTAAGAATGAGGCGGATGGTACAGGCTGATTTAGGTGAAGGAGACTGGAACCAGTGTTCTGTCTGGCAAACATGATCAATGCATAGTGCTGGTTCCTGGGTAAGAGTGCTGTAGCCATGTATCTATAACAGAAACGGGTGAGGAGAATAGATAAGTCCTTTCCATTTTATATTGCACATTTTCAAAATATTTGGGAGTCTTGATTAAAAGAAGAAGGCTTAAGCGTACACTAAACAATGCTTCACAGATGTCTATGTTAAGTTCATCTGCTTATCATACATCATAAGCTAAGTCAAATTCTTACATGTTAGCATGTTTTAAGTTATTAGAAAAACCTATAATGTCAATTAGTAAGTCTGATAGAGCTTCATTGGGTGGACAGGAAGCTTTTAATGATAGAAAGGGTACTGATGAGTCCCCATCTACATTGTACATATATTAGGGCTGCAACAATAAATTAACATGACGATATGATATACGTATCAGGATACTGTGGTCACGATTTGGGATCACGATAACTATAGTAACAGTAGATGCAAAGCGAAAAGATATGTTGCAAATTTGTTATGGTAATATAACAACAGAAAATAGACTTGGTCCAAAATGGGCATGACTTTATAACGTTTTACACAATTCACGTCTTTTTACGTGCATGCCGAGCTGAAGCTGTCACTCGCCATGCGGGAACGTATATGAGTAGACTAAATTCAGAATTGACTAAATCCCGAAAATGTCGTAGATGGAGTATATCGTGACCTCCCAAAAAAATATTGTGTATCATACCATATCAAAAAGATATATTGTTGCACGATATTTTGTTGCAGCCCTAATATATATTGTGGTATGTATGTATAGGTCTCATAAGAAATAACGACAGTATGATCCAACATTGGCATTGGATCCGAACAACCAAAGGTTGGTTGAAACTTGATACATATTACTTAAATAGATATATGGGCAAAGAAGTAATAACAACAAAGAGATTTGTCAAATTTTCAGGGCGATCGGCTCCTTTGTGGTATGTGTATATATTTACCCCTGGAGCTGGTAGATGCTGTAACTGAACAGGTGACAAAGTTGATTTTGTGATGCTGTTTCTCTTTGAAAACTGCTTATCAATTCCTTCCATGGCTGTGTTTTTCCTGTCCATTTATATTTGGGGCTGAAATT